CTCAGGCTGGCCTCGATCGGTGTCGGTGAACCCACACGAATCGTTCCGAACCGAATCGGATTCGCGGCCCTGGCCGGCAAGCCGAATCGCATCGAATCGGATCGTGGGCGGCCCTGGCAGGTGCGTGCGGCGTCGGCGTCGGCGCAGAGGCAGTTTGACATCGCCTCGATCGCGATCGACCTGGAGCCGAGATCGCAGCTCAGATCGCTTCTGGGCCGAATTCCGCTGGGTCCGCGTGGCGTCACCGTGTCCCTCGGTGCTTCCGCGTCACCGAACTCGACCTGGAACGCTTTCGCCCGCGTCGCCGGCGCGCCATCGCCGCATGAGCCTACTGTAAGCCCCCCGTGAGGGCATCCATGTATAAGCTCTAGTTTCAAGATGCCATGGGAGCGATCGAGACAAGGGCCGTGATGTTGATCGCGATAGTGGCAACCATATCGCGATGAGGCTTATGGTTGCGAGAACCGCGTTGACAGTTCTCCGCCACCGTGCCACGAGGCAAGAGTTGGAGTGTCCTCAAGTCCGTTGTCTAATCCCTTAAGCCTGAGTCCTCAATCCTGAGGATTCTGTAGGGGGCCCAGGACCCCTAAATTCATAAATCTTCTGGGACGCGTCGCGGCTCCGGGAAGTGTTCCAGCATGACTTTTCGGCCCCAAGAGGGCCCTAAGAGATAAGAGGGCCCCGAGAGGCCCCCAAGATGGCCCAAGAGGGCCCCGAATCACCGAACGATCGCTTCAAGACGCCCAGGATAGCCGCAGGACGGCCGAAAAAGCGCCCAAGAAGTCCCAAGATGCCTCCACGAGACTTCCCTTGGGGGCTCCGAGGAGGTCAATATTAATGATTTCCCGTATGTTTCTGTCAATGTTCTTGGGGTTCTCCATTTTTCGAGCTTCTGACGCTCGCCGACGTCCCAAGCGGCCCCCAAGACCCCCCCAAGACACCCCCAGAGGCCCCCAAGAGGGCGCCAAGACCGCCCGAGACGGCCCCAAGACGGCCCCGAGACGGCCCCAAGACGGCCCAAGACGGCCCCAGAAGGAGCCCAAGAAGAGGAACACGAACCGAAAATACAAGACTTCCGCCCCAAGAGGCGCCCAGGTGGCAGGCCCAAAGAGGCCCCGAAGAGGCCCCGAAGAGGCCCCCACAGGGCCCCAAGAGGCCCAAAAGAGCTCCAAAAGAGGCCCCCAAACAGCTCCCCAGAGGCAACAAAACTGCCTCCAGGAGGCTCCCGAGAGGCCTCGACGAGATCTCAACGAGCATCCAAGAGGCCTCCGACCCACAACCCAGGCACGGTGGCGGGATGGGCAGAAGGCAATTTAATTTTATAGTAGTGATAATAATTGGGGTTCGGGGCGACGGTTCTGATGTTGAGTGCGAGGGTTTTCGTGACGCCGACGGCGTTCGTGATAGTGGCCATGGGGGTGCGATCATATCTAGCAACAGCGACAGCAGTGTCAGCAGACATAGCGACCAGTTGCATTGGTACTGGGTAGCGGTTGCCAATGATATGAGCAGCGGTCTAGACTGATAGCGCCTATATACTGCTATCCAGAAAGTGTTTGGGGAAGCATGGAACGTGCATCGGAAACCATGTTTGGATGTAATTATCATGTCTCCTGCACGATGACCGCACTGCAACGCATGCACACGCGAGCCTCCACGACAGTATGCGGGACACTGGTCATGATTCCATAGCAGTGGCACCTTTGTACCAGCACAGGTTATCGAGACGGAAATAAAGGATAACCCAAGAGGATGTGCTGCGTAGAGGGCACGGCGAACCATTAGCCTGGCTGTGTCATGCTGTACGACGGTGACGACGGCGGTGATGACATGTTCGCCCCGGAATGACAACGGAAGCGAATGCTGTGGCGGTGCGACTGCGACCGTGCCCGTCGTGTACGACTCCGACTGCGCTGGGTAAAGCGGGAGGCCAGCGGCGACTCGGGAGCGGTCGATAGAGAGAGAGGCACGGGCGGGCGGGGAGGAGGGGGGAGGGGAGGGAAGGGCGACGAGGAGGCGAGACGAGGAGGTGAAGGAGGCGGAGGGGGCCTTGATGTCCCCAAAGTACTGCAGGTCCAGGGAGTTCCTGAGCTCCTGGCAGCGGCGGCGGCAGCGGCCGCGCAGCCCAGCACTCCCTGGGAGACTGCCGAACTCATTTTGCCAGAGCTCGCTGAGCTACGCTGGAACCTCGTGGGCCCATGGAAGAGGGAGGAAGGGGGAGAGGGCACGGAGACAGGAGCGGCCAGCGTTGAACAGATCAGTTGGATCGGATCGAGACGTGCATCACCTGGGGCCGCGCTGAAGAGGGGTCGGAATCCGCCGACCCCCGCCTGGCGGGGATGTAAAAGCGTGTGAGACATTTGGCTGTCTCCCTTCCCCTTTCCCCCTCCCCGGGGGTCCAAATTCGCACCAAAGGGGGGGTCCGGGGGGAGGGAGGGAGGGAGGGCCAGAGCTCGCCGACGCACCCCGGGAGCCTCCAGGGCGTCAGAGTCAACTCTCCGTGGCCCGAAGATATCGAAGCTGCTATCCAGGCTGGCTCCAGCTGGGCAGCAACAGGCAGAGGAGTCCTCAACATTGCCCAGGAGGCCTCACAGATGCGCCACGAGAGCCCCCACAAGACCGCCAAGAGGCGCCCAAGAGGCAAGAATCGTCCCCATCCCAAAGGCAAACGCAAATGTTTAGCTTTTTTCTGGGGGGGGGCGAAAGCGTCAGAGACGGCTCAAGAGGCCCCCATGATCGCTCCAAGGCAGGCCCCAAACTCCCAAAAGTGGTCCCCATACGGCCCAAAGGGTCCCAAGACGGCCCACGAGAGGTCCAAGAGGGCCCCAAGAGTGCCCAAGAGTGGGAACACGAACTGGTGTGCCGAGCCTTCCCCTCCAAGATGGACCCAGGAGCCTCACAGAGGCCCCCGAGGCGCCCACAAGAGGCCCCAAGAGGCCGCCGAGACGCCCCCAAGAAGCCCCCAAGAGGCTCCCAAGACGCCCCAAAAGGACCCAAATGACTTCCCAACTACACCCAAGAACCCTCCAAGAGGCCCATCGGAGGCATCCCGCGGGACCTCCATATTCATCTCAGAGGCTCCTTACCCACAGGCCGGGGACGGTGGCGGGTTGGGCCGAGGGCCATTCGACAACATCCACGATTGTCGCAAGCTCTGATTTCTGCTGGGGGTTGGCGGACTGGCGTCAGCTTCTTGCATCGAATCGAATCGGTCGCGCCACGAGGCACAACGCCTTGCACGCATGAGGCTGCATCGGATCGTCGGAATGTTGGGATCGGAACGACTCGAGCCGGAAGGGAGCGATATCGCGGCGGATCGATCGGATGGGGACGAGGACAAGGAGGAGCAAGAAGGGAGTTGCTGGCTTAATTTGCAGGCCTCTGGGCCCAAGTCACCTGCCCTTATCTCCCCGCACCTGCTTCAGGAAGAATGCAACAGCTTCATCGCTGATGTTTCCCTGGTCCAAAAATTGTTGAAAACAATGAGACGCGCAGAGACATACTAGTACTATATGTCCTAGAGCGGAGCGACGGTGGACGTCGCAAGGTGCCGAGGGGGGACTCACGCCAAGATGGGGAAAGAGGACAGACGGCGAGCGGGCGGAAGAAAAAACTGGCAGCCAGTCTCTCGGAGCCGCGGTCCTCGCCGCCGTCGTTGGTGAGGCTGGCTGCCACCGCGTCTGCTTTGTTCAGGCCTCCAGCAGACCACTCCGCCACACCTGGCGGCCAAACTGAGCGGCCTGCGCTCGGAGCCCCCGGCGCCCCCAGCATCCAGACGATGACACCTCGCCAGGCACCCGCCTTGCAAAAGGCCCCCGTCGCCCCGCGCCACTCGACCAGCGTCACCGCCATGCCAGGCGTCAGTCGCAGGGCCCTGGGCCGACGCGGGTCACGCCGGGCCTCCGAGAGCTGCTGGGCCCTGACCACCTCTAGCCCGCGCGCCTGCGCCAGGGCCACCGCCTCCTCTTCCTCCACACGGGAGAAGGTGTCCGCCGTGACGTTGTGGTAGGCGCGGAAGTAAGCGTTGGCCACCTCGTGGCCGCGTACCGCTTCCAGGCACGTGATCACCATGATCAGGAAACTGGCGTGGCGGTTCTTGGCGCGCCGGTTCTGCAGCCAGCACAGGACGTTGCAGTTGTCCCCGCCGCGCATGATCACCCCGCGTTCCCACCAGCCCTCAGCGCCTGCCTTAGCTGCGAAGGTGACTAGGTTCATAGACTCCGCAATCGCGATGATGGCCTCCTCATCTTCCTCGACCCCCACAGCTTCCCTCAGCGCCTGCATGAACTCGGGCACCGAGTGGAAAGCGCACTTGGATTCACACAGTCGACCGCGGCGATCCTCTGCGGCGTCGCGCCCCCCGTTACCCAGATCACCCGGTAGCGCCAGCCCAGGCGCGCTAGCTTCTCAGTGATCGAGAGCACGCCTGACAAGGCACCTGCGAAAAGTGAGCTCCACTTCAACTTGTCTGCTGCCAGGACGCGCGCCACCTCGGTGGCCTGCCGGAAGTCCGCCCAGGCAAGCGCGCTCTGGGAGTGGCCCCCCTTCGGCCCTGCCAGCCTACGCGGGCGTTCCCGCATGAGCGCGTCGGTCGCGCTGACGAGGCACCTCATAGCTGACATGACGAGGGGCCAGTATTGCTGGTTCCCCCTGTAAACCTCCATGACGTT